ATTTTGTCTGAACATTAATCTGTAATTTATTCATTTAAGTGGATGAAATATTTGATTGTTTTGTGATATATAAGAAAACATTTCACTGCTGAAAGGACTCATCAGGAATCCAAATAAGACATAATAAGTTGAGTTCACAGTTCTTTATGATGAACAAAATTACATAGAAACTGCATTTTTGATCTCTGTATTTACAGCAATGAAAGTGATTACCACATTTAAAATATATTGATAGGTACCTAACTAACCCAAAAATGTTGTGAGAATTCTTAGAATAAACAGTAGTTCATTGACACATAGATCAAAGCCATTTTCCAATCTTAGTATACAGATCAATGCATGTCTAAAACAGTGTTACCAAGGCAACCAGTGAAAACCAGAGTCTATCTTTTGTCAGGAAAAAATCAACTTAAAATGTGTTTAATGTACACACTATTTTTTCTTAGAATATATGTATAGAAAATACTTCTTGCACAAAAACGTTATAAATACTATTAAGTATTTAATCTCTGCCTAATGGTATAATAGAATCATTTTTATGTAATGTATGTACCTAAGTTATAAAATAATAGCATAGAAAATACACAACATCTTTTATATTCTTTGACAAATAAAATTTGGAAATGATAAGTACGTGTGTTAATGGCATTAAGTATTTCACAGTTTACAAGCACTTCAGTTGTATTTATTTACAAGGAATATACTTTTATCTGACATCACACAGCTGTAAACAACAAGGAAAAAATTTATTCCAGTGTTTTGATGATCATACATTTCACCCTTATCAGGAAAAATTACATTATTTTCAACTACAAACACTTTATAACAAACCTTGAAAAACTGTTATAAGGTATCATATAATATAAATAAGATGAATAACAGTAAAACCATTGCTGGTTTTCCACAGATTTATAACAATTAAAATTATAATTTATAGGAAAAACTTGTGAAAGAAAATTGTTCTTTGTTTATAGATAAATAAGTAAAAATGTTTAAAACCTCTTTCCACCTGATGATGCTAGGTAAACCTAGCACAACATAGTTTAAAAAAAAAAAAGAGGTTTATAAACGTTTTTACTTGTTTATCCATAAATAACAAAACTAGAATTTTAGTTTTATTAAATAAAACAGCTCATGAATGACATAATGTATGTAATTGTGCACTTGTATACAACTATGAAAGTATATGCGTATATAGACACAAGAAGTCACTATAAATAGTGGAAAGAAAGTGTTCTTGGGAGGTTGACTTACTTGTGGTTCAGGAAGCCAGTATATAGGGAGATTATGGATTAATTAATAGATGTACTCTTCTTAATATCTTCATACATGCTGCTTTCTATAAAGTCCTTCTGATGACAAACTACACGCATTGAGCTGTGAATACTTATCAGTGTTATGTTTAAAATATATTCCTATTGGTATCTTAAGCCATTAATGCTACGAGAAACAATTTTGCTGTAGATTTCTCACAATTTCTTTCATCACAATGTTTCACTACATTGTAAAGTAGTTTAATGTAACACTAAGAAGAATTTCTATATGAAATCATGGAACATGTATAAAGTGATGGTACTAGCATACATATATCACTAAAGTTTAGACAATTTGTTCTGAAGTGTAATTAGATGCCATTTTTTATTTGCCCAATTTTAATGTGCACTTACCATACATATTTTAACATTTTTATAATGTCATAGTAATTTGAAACAAATGTTTATACTACAATCATTGTGAATTACATGTCTACAAAATGCTATATTATGATAAAAATTAAAGTAAAGCCAATGGTTTATGATACCAAATGATTCACAGAGCAGTATACAAATAACATAGACTTTTGTATGAAATCAGAAATTTCTAGTTTGTGATTTTTTTACCAATATTTTGGGGGAAACATAGCATACTTTGATTCTCTCTGTTAACCCTTTCAAAATGGACTCGGTATAATATACACGAGTTAAGTATTTATACTATAACTTTTAATGCAGTAAGTGCATCTTCACAAAATTTGGTAGACATTTAGTAAAGATTACAAGTCTTTCATACACAAAAAATCAGATTTTTTAATGAAGTATTTTTATTATAGATTTGTTTGTGAAAATATCAAGTCTGTTTCTTTATCAGTGCGAGTGATTTTCATGTTATAACTAAAAAAACTATTGTTTGTCCCAAAAATCTCAAATACTATTTGTGTAATCTCTAAAACCTCCTAAATACATTTCAAACATTTGTTTTCAGTAAAACTTTATATTTTTTGTTATTTTCTCATAACCACCATAAAAAGTAGGAAATATATTTAAATTTAGCTTTTTTGTTCTAGAATGACTACAGATTATAACATTATACAGTTATTTATATTTATTATTTTTATTATATTGACCTTCCAGCCATGCCTGGCTAACAATACAGAATTACAATGACAAGAATGTGTTTTAGTGGACTAGTTTTTTCTCAAGTACAGTCACATTTCAATTATTATACGTTATGTATTTATATACATTAATACCTTTTACAAATAAGTTCTTAAATTTATTTTCCTTGAAACATAGAACAGTAAATAAAGAAGTAAAGCAAACAATTCTCTTCTAGTTACAAACCTTTGTACTCGTTTGCTGCATGTCGTAGGTTTCTAAGCCTTATGGAATTTCCCACATGGAGGACGTGAAAATAAACATGTTTTTTAGGTTCTATATATACATTTTAAATAACAAAAAAAACTCATAAATTACTATATCAATACCATAGAATTCCACTAATTTATCAAGCATAGTAACTAAGCTGTATTTGGGTCTTAAAAAATATGAAATTTCGAGTTCATTAAAGACATACCTTATCGTTTGAAATCTTGTGTGAAAAGAACGAGATTAACATGTCAAAATGGCTGAGAAAACCACTAGGGGGACATTCTGAGCTTTCAATTGGTTATTCATGTCATATATAGAATTAAGTGTATATAAGGAAGTGTTTCCAAAAATGGAAAGAGGAGGGTGGGGGCCACTGTGTTTAATTCAGTACAGGAGCAATATCTTAACAAATAGAAAA